AACATATCTCAAAATTCTAAATTAGAACTAATAGAACTAAATTGCTGTCATGCTACTCAATTATATAGAAGTTGGATTATATAGAACTTTGTACTAGCTTTTCTAAAATCATTTTTACTTCAGGTGGTTTATTATTGGCTGCTGATTACTCTCAGCTTGAACTGAGGATCTTGGCTCATTTATCCCATGATCATCGTCTCATTCAAGTATTAAACACTGGAGCTGATGTTTTTAGGAGTATTGCAGCAGAATGGAAGATGATTGAACCAGATTCTGTTGGGGATGATCTGAGGCAACAAGCAAAGCAGGTAATCTTAGTGAACATGCTTAATATAAATAAGAAGAATTTAATGAATAAAAAAAGTTAAAAATTATCTCAATTATTTATAGGCAAGGAACAATTTCTTTGTCTTTGGATCTTTCAATCCACATTTCATCTGAGCCTGTCTCATAGTATTCATTATACTTACTTTTGTAGAGGCAGTAGAAAGAACCAGAAAAACTGAGATATGAGGACACTTAGTGCTAGGAAAGCCATATGCATTTAAAACCATAATATGGCTAGTCACAGTGCCTGGTACTCAGTAGATAATTATTTAAGAATGATAGATGTCATTGTTATCGTGGAAGTCATTGTGTGTGTGTGCATGTTTGTGTGTGTACATGTGTGTGTGTGTGTGTGTATGTTTAAAGTCTCTAAGTGTCCTCAGATAAAGTTCCATATTTTCCTTTTTATATTTTCCCACAGCATTAAGCCACAGTACTTTGTATAGAAGGTGTACTCTAAATGTTTGTTGAAAAAATATTGCAGAGCTGTGGATTATGGTTAATAACTGATAGCTTTTTAGCTTTTGAGGCTATTGATTAGTTAATCAACCTGTGAAAACTTCATGCTGCCCTTGTACCTTTGAAATGAATCCATGTTAGTTCCTACTCCTGGATGAGTATTAGGCACTGAGAAAGCCAAAGGCCACATTTACACCGTTCCTGTCCTGGAGTAACAATGATACTTCCTTACCACATGACCTGTGGGAAATCTGATGCCATTTGCAAGAGAGCAGGATTGTTGGCTGAGGTAAAGGCACACCACCCCACCCTGAGATCTTGCTTTATTAGTCTTCCATTCTACTCACAACTGTAATTCTTGACTGGCTCACCGAGCATGAAACATTTCCTCTCACCACTGTCTCTTCAGCACCAACACTTGTTTCTCCTAGTATGTAGAAAGCAAGCCAGCTCTGTCCTTTCTGTTTGTTTAGTCTCCTCTGGGGTCCTGCATTTAGCAAGAATCAAACCCCAGGTAAAATAGATAATATTCTCATGTTTAAGTCTCATAAATAAACCATGAGATAAATATGATTATTACTATTCTCATTTTATAGAAGAGGAAACTGTGGCACAGAAAGTTAATCATTTTCTTAAAGTTGTACACTTATAAGTAGTGGAGCTAGGATAAGTTCGGAATGCCAGAACTTGGGCACTTTGACTGCCTAACCTACACATTTATCCACTGGTGATAGCTGCCTCTATTTAATGACTTCTTGCATAATTTAATAGTGTTTATGCTATACCAGTTTGTCCCCTAACACCATGCACAGAACCACGTAATCCCTGAGTCTTGCTGAGATCTCAGACAACACTAAGTAATATGAGTTTAAAAGACAACAGTAGAAGCCACAACAAAATAAAACA